TTGTAGCTTTTTTTTCTGATTGTAATTATTGAAGAGTAATAGCAATAATAACAACAGTAAAAATAAAAATAAAAATAAAAATAAAAATAAAAATAAAAATAATAATAATAATAATAATAATAATAATAATAATAATCAATAATAATAAATTAATTTTGAGATTTTTCGGAATCAGTAATAATAATAATAATAATAATAATAATAATAATAATAAGACAATAATAATAAATTAATTTTGAGATTTTTCGGAATCAGCTAATAATAGTAATAATAATAATAATCGTAATACTAAGAATCTAATAACAATAACAATAATAATAACAACAACAATAACAATAACAACAACAATAACAATATAAATAATAAAGTATTGTTTTCCTTTCATATATAAACTAATATTTTCTAGTAATAATAATAATAATAATAATAATAATTATTATTATTATTATTATATTGTCATGTTTCCTCTTTTTTGCTTTCTTTTTCCTTCTTACAAAACATCATCTTTTCTTCCCCAGTATGTTTTTTTCCTTTTCTATCCTCTCCTCTTCTATTCTATCTTTCTCCTTCCCATCTTTAAACTGCTTTTACAAAGATTCAAAACTATAGAAAAAAAAAGTCTAATTGTTGATGATTATCATATCTGTGTGTTTATGTGGTTGATGACTGATTGATAAGTTGGAATAAACACACATACAGAAAAAAAAAAGAAACTTGTGATAGATGATGAGTATGTAAACTGATGACAAATACTGCAATACTGAGAAACGTTTTGAGTATCAGCGATAAAAAAAGAAAATACTCAGAATTTGACAAAGCACACAATTATATTTCATTATTAAAATGCTCTTTAAGTAGTTTAACGTTTAAATAGAAAAGAGCAATTTTTCACATTTTTTTCTTGAACATTCATACAATTTTTCTAACCAACTAAATTTCCTTTTTTTTTTGAACATTTTGACTTTCTCATAGTCAAATGTTATCATAAGCAGACAGCCTTCTTTTTTTTGAACTTTTGAACAGCTTAATTAAACGCTGAACACCTTTTTGCAGGTACAGACAGTTCGATTAAACAGCAAACTATAAACTAATGACAGCTAGCTTTTCAGTAATACCAAACTGCCTTCCTACCCGGTTTTATCGAAGTCCAAAAATGTAAGAAACAAAAAAGTTGCAAACTTTTTCTTTAACCAAATGTTTAGTCATTTTTCTCTCTCTTACGTCGATGACTTTTTTTTTTTTTTTTTTTTTTTTTTTTTTTTT